TCTCCCAGGTCAGCACCATCTTTTGGAGAAGTAGCTTTTCATAATGTCCTGTCTGAACTTGTGTTCCTTGTCCTGTGTGGCAGTCTGGCACCCTGAGAAGTGTTTGAGCCTATCTTCAGCAGGTGCAGTTAGATCCTGCCTTCCCCAGTATCCCCAGTTACCCCATCCAGCTCTCCCCACCTCTCCTGTGTCCTGTGCCCCAGGCATGACCATCTTAGTGACTCTCCACTGGACTCTTCTGCTTCTCCATAACACCCCTGAATTGGGCAACCCTAGCCTAACCATGGCAGCATCCCCAGTGCCTGGCAAGGGAAAGGAAAGCACCTCCTCCAGTGTCCTGGCCATGCTCCTCCTGGCTTGGCCCACGACATTGTTTTCCTTATTCTTCATAAGAACATGTCTGTAGGACTCATCTTTATGTGGGGTCAGAGTGGGAGCAGCACTGTGGTGTGGGGTGATGAGGGTGCCAGTGGGAGCAGGGAGGGCTGTGGGGCTGGGACCCCAAGAGCATGGAGGAGGAATCCCAAAAGCATGGAGAGGGACCCCCAAACCCACAGAGGGGGGCAGGAGGCAGGATGTGGACAAGGGGGCCAGCCCTGGGTGCTGCAGCAGCAGGGAAGCTGCAGAGCCAGCCCCCAGCCCTGGCCCCGCAGGGAGAAAGGAGCCAGTGGGAGATAAGGCTGGGGATTTAAGGCTCCTGGCAGATCCTGACAGCCAGGGCTGCCTGGCTTCCATCAGCCTTTAAAAATGCCTCACTGGAGTTCAGGGATCCTTGCTGCCAGCAGAAACAGGGCCAGGCAGAGGGGGTGAGAAGAATCCTTCCTTCCTCAGAGCCCTCAGCATGGGCTGAAGGTGCCATTTTAGGAACTTTTATTGTAGGAGGGAGCTGCTTGCTCAGAGCTGTTTCCAGGAGGAGCCTGGGGCGGACTCTGAAGGCCAGGGCAGTTTGGGATGCAGGGGAGCCTGGTTGGAGCCTGCCCAGCTCGCACTGGATTAATTAAACATTTGGTTAGAGAGAGGCAGTGAGACACAAAAGAACAGGGAGCCCCTGAGCGGCCCCTCCTGCACATTTGGCCAAAGGCTTTCCCTGAGCCATGGGATGCCTTTCCCTGCTGAGCTGCCCTGGGACAGGAGGGCTGGAAGCTTGGTGCCAGCAGCAGAGGTGGCCTTGCCTCCCACATCCTGGTGTGATACTCTGCAGGGAGGGCAGGGTGCTCCATGGGTCCATGGCATTCCATTCCTTTCAGGATGTGGACACCATGATCCTTGTGGGTCTCCTCCAGCTCAGTTTATTCTGTCATTCCCAGAACACATGCCTTCCCAGGCACGAGCACCTTTCCATGTCCCAGGAGTGAGTGAGTGAGTGAGTGGGAAACAAGGACCCCCTGTGCTGCTCAGCATTCTCAGCCGTGCTGGAGAGAGCCACAGCCAGAGCTGCAGGCTGCCTTCAGAGCTGTACCCCAGTGAGGCAGCCATCCATGGCTCTGTGCAGCAGCCAGGCAGTTAAAGGTCCCTCTGTCCCTGTGAGCCCCTGTGAGCATCCCGTCGGTGCTGGGTGTGGGGGAAACTGCTGCAGTGATGGGGCCAGAGCCACTGGCACCGAAATCGCCCTCCAGGGATGAGGAATGCTTGGATAAAGTAGACATTTCTGTGCTTTCACTGTTTAACTTCCATCTTTGCAAGCAGGAATTTCTAGGGATGTCATTCCTGCAAGCCTTAGGAAAAACAGCAATGCCCCAAAGCTGCTGTCACCTCCCAGGGCAGAAAACTGGGTGTCCTCATGTCTGTGTCAGGCTGGATATCAGGGAAAGGTTCTTCCCCCAGAGGGTGCTGGGCACTGCCCAGGCTCCCCAATGAATGGGCACAGCCCTGAGGCTGCCAGAGCTCCAGGAGCATTTGGACAGTGCTCCAGGGATGCCCAGGGTGAGATTGTTGGGGTGTCTGTGCATTATCCTTCTGGATCCCTTCCAGCTCAGGATATTCCACGATTTTGTGATGCTTCCAGCACATGGTGAGAACATTCCCATTGTTCAGGCAGGAGGGGTTTTAGCCCCTGAAGATTTCACTTTTGATTTACTGTTTATTCTGGAAAGAAGAAATTGGGCGAATTCCTAAAGAAAATCTGTTTTCTCACCCAGGGGAAGACCTGGAGGGAGCAGAACAGTTTTGAAGACAATGTAAACAGTTTTGTAGACAATTTTACTTCTGGAGGTTGTCATTACTGGAGAAAAATAAATCAATAGAAAAAAGGACTTTGCATCAAATTTCAGTGACTTTCCTGTCTTTCCACATGATTTCAGAACATTTAACTTTGGAGAAGTTCTGATTTTTCCAGGATTATTTTATCCCATGCAGAACCTGCTGGGGAGGAAGGGACTTGCCAAAACTCCTGGCTGTGTTTTGGTGGCTCATGCAAAGAGTTTCACTGTCCCAGCTTGGTATTTTTGAGGAACAACCACTGAGCCTCAGTTTTTATCCCTCTCCAGCCATTAACCTGTGCCAGGGCCAATGTGGGGAATGTTTTTATCCCTTGGAGTAGTCAATACACTCCACAGCCTGGGCACTTTTTGGATGTCTCGCTCTCTTGATGCAGAAGCATTACAGGAAAGTATCTATTTTTAAAATAAACCTCAGGAAGGTGAAAGAGGCCCCTGTCTGAAACCATCCTTGCTGGAATGACTCTGCATTTTGCCTGGGCTGTCAGATGAGAGCAATTTTATCTCTTGGTCTTTTGTGTGTCTCAAATATTGGTATTAGTGCAGGAAGCCTGTTATCATGTCCCCATTGCTTCTGGGGAATGCAGAACTGCCCAGCCATCACCTCTCCCAACAGCTTAACACCCTCTGAGATGGGCTGGTCCTGAGGGAAGTGGGTCAGGAACAGAATCAAACAGGTGAGGGATCGATGGAAAGATCCAGGGACATGAGGAGGATCCTGGTTTTCAACAGCTCCTTTGACCATAAGAGGAAGGAGGGATGGTGCAAGCAGGAAGACTGATGGGATTTCCCTGTAGAGCTTTTTTCATTAGAAACTCAGGCTAATTCTGGAGGAAAGGAGATGAAAACTGAAGAAAAAAAAAACAACCTTATTTTTTCCCTTTTTTCCCAAATAAGAAATAGCTACTTCTTAGCAATTGCTCACAGCAACCCCAGTGAATGTTTTTCCCAGGCTATTTTCTGATCTGCCTCATTCCTGGGAGCCTTGGCAGGCGACTGAAGGAGAAGTCTGTTAAACTTGTTTCAGCACAGGAACCACCTGCCTCCCCCCAGGCTCTTCAGGCTGTGTAAGAATTAACAGCAACAGAAAGTCACAACAGGAGTAACCACAGAGGAACGGTGTGAGCTGAGCTTTTCCTTGGGCACTGGTGATCCCTGGGCTTGGAAGGGACTTTCTGGTGTTGAAAGTTTTTATCCGTGAGTGCTAAACCTGTTAGTGCTGCATTACAGTGTGGTCCAGTCTTCACCACTGTCTGCTGTAGGCACCACACTCCCCTGTGTGCCCCTCACCCGCCCTGTGGGGCTGGACACACGTGGGGTTGAGTGGCTGCTGCTTACGGAGCATCTTCTTCACCTGTGAGGGGCTCAGAGCCTGGAGGAAGAGCCCAGCCCACTGTTACTGCTCAGCAGAACCAACAATTGATTTGTGATATTGAGTCATAAAATCATTAAGGTTGGGAATGTCCCCTAGAATCATCAACCCAGCACTGCCATGTCCCCAGGTGCCACATCTACAAAGTCATGAAGACAAAACTCTGTGGAGAGTTGCAAAAGCACCCTATGAGACAGTGTGACCAGGGAATGAGAAGGCAATTGGAATTCACAAGACTTGAGGTGATACAAATGGGAGAAAACCACCCCAGGTTCATGGAATGGTGGAATCACAGAATGGTTTGGGTTTGGAGGTGCCTTAAAGACCGTCTGCCATGGGCAAGGGCATCTTCCAGTAGATCACACAGACCTGCACAGAGATGAGCTAGGAGCTGGACTGATGTCCCTCACAACTCAGATCTTGAGGCTTTCACAGTCAGTGGTTAAAAAATCATGTGGGCATTGCTGAAAAAAGAAGAGAATGAAAAAGTGAATATTGTGATGCAGTGTGGAGCATGACAGATTTGGACAACTCTAGAGGTCATGGACAAGGCAGATGGTGGTTGAGTGTCCACTGGCAATGGAAATGTGGGGTGGCATCAAGAATGTCAGCTTGGCTTCGAAGCAGAGAGCAGCAGTTTCTTCTGCAGTGTGTGGTTACAGCACAGGGCTCTTTATGGGTAAAACAGGTGCAGGACATTTGCAGGGAATAACAAACTGAGTGGGCAACAGAGTGGGAGAAACACCCACGTGGGGCATTGAGTGCAAGGAGCTGCATCTCAGAAGAGCGTGGGGAAGTGTTGTGGGCAACACGTGCACCTGGTTCACACCCTGCTACTTGAGTGGTCGTGGAATCATGGAATATCCTGACTTGGAAGAGGCCCATAGGGATCAAATCCAACCCTTGACCCTGCAACAATCCCCCCCTGTGTGTCCTTGGAGTGGTGTCTAAATGCTCCTGGAGCTCTGGCAGCCTCAGGGCTGTGCCTATTCCCTGGGGAGCCTGGGCAGTGCCAGAACCCTCTGGGGGAAGAACCTTTCCCTGATATCCAGCCTAAAGCCCCCATGACAGTAGCTGCTGGGGGAAAGATTGTTGTGTCCATGGTCTGACCAGGTACAGCCACTGACATCTTATGTGGCAGTGGCTAAAAATTCTCTCTGCACTCCTACAGTCCCTGTTCTGCACTCGTGGTTGGGGAACAGGGACAGAGGTGTCTACACAGGGACCCATCTCTGCAGGTGCCTCCTCAGGGCCTTCCAACCAGCTGCTCCTTTTCTATGGTGTTCACGTTCAGTTTTCAGGATTTCCTTTGGACACTGCAGAGCCCAAGGATGGTTTGGGCAGCAGTGCTGGGCTCCAGGCATCCCCCCAGCCTCCTTCTCACTGCTCACCACTGCTCTCTTCTCTTCCAGGCTGTCCCTCAGGAACATTCAAGGCCAGCCAAGGGGATGAAGGGTGTGTCCACTGCCCCATCAACAGCCGGACAACCTCGGAAGGGGCCACAAATTGTGTGTGCCGAAATGGATATTACCGGGCAGACGCCGACCCCGTGGACATGCCATGCACCAGTACGTGGGTCTGGGCAGCTGGGAGGGGACCACGTGGTGGGGAAAGGAGATGATCCTCAGTCAAAGCACCCAGGGATGCTTGACAAAGGAGTCTGTCCCAGTGGGGTTTTGGGGGACACTACACAAACTAATTGGTAAATTTTGCCAGGACTGTCACACAGTCAAATTAACCTGGGGTAAGAGGACTGGTTTCATTCCCACTCTTTGCTTTGGATGTCCAGGTTGCTGCACACATCCTGACAGCAAGAGAAGCACCCAGCTCGGCTCATGCAGAGTCCTGCCTGGGGATGGGGAGGAGGAGGGGTGCAGCTGTCTCACACCTTCCTGTCTGTTCCCTTTCCAGCCATTCCATCCGCCCCCCAGGCCGTGATCTCCAGCGTGAACGAGACGTCGCTGATGCTGGAATGGAGCCCTCCGCGGGACTCGGGGGGCCGCGAGGACCTGGTGTACAACATCATCTGCAAGAGCTGCGGGGCGGGCCGCGGGGCCTGCACGCGCTGCGGGGACAACGTGCAGTTCGCCCCGCGCCAGCTGGGCCTCACCGAGCCCCGCATCTACATCAGCGACCTGCTGGCACACACCCAGTACACCTTCGAGATCCAGGCTGTCAACGGCGTCACCGACCAGAGCCCCTTCTCCCCGCAGTTCGCCTCCGTGAACATCACCACCAACCAGGCCGGTAAGGCCCAACACCCTCCCTCAGAGCCCCCACACCGGGCTGCCGTGGGTGCGGTGGTGCCCGGTGAGGGCTGACCTAGAGCAGAGACTAGACAGAGCTAAAGAATAAAGTAGGGATTTATTAAGAGGCCTCAGTTAGATCCACCTTGGGCAGCACAATCCAAAATGGCCACAAAAATGGATGACAGGTCACGAGTTCTCATGCTTTTATAAGTTTTGGTCCATTTGTATATTGGAGTTAATTGTCCAATTACAGCTTTAGCCCATGAAGTCCCATCCTTCTTGTTTTCTCTTATTAGTCCATGTTGATTATGCTTTTGGACCTGGGATCTGGATCAGCTGTCCTTGGGCCCCCAGCTAGACAAGGAATTGTTTTATCTACCTATTCTGTGAAGAGAGCTCACCATCCCCTGATATGAAGCCTAGACTTACACACTAAAGCAGAATAGAATCTGAAAAATAGAAAAGCTAAACCTGAGGCTTATCAGGGGTGGGCAGCATCTCCGGGCAGTGCTGAGCCCCTGTGGGCTGGAAGGGGACAAGAGGTGGGGTGAGGTGTTGCTTATTCCGTAATGTTGGTTGTGAGGAGTGCCTGGCAATTTCTGAGTGAATACCAAAACCTGAGTGTCAAAATATCCCTGAAAAGCTGGAGCGTGCCCCAAGGCAGAGCTGCCTCCCCATCATGGCAGCAGAACAGCTGGTGGCACTGTCCCCCGTGTCACAGCATCACTCTCCTGCACTGGGTGTGGTGGGCCTGAGGCTGTTGCCTCGAAGCATCATTGCAGGCACCGTCAGAGTTTTGCAGGCACACTCCTGGTTCCTGGGGAGGGAAGGTGAGGTGGCTCCAGCATTTTGATGGGAGCTGCAGTACCTGCTTGGATTGTAGAGAGAGCCAGGACAGACTGAGAAAGGAAAGGAGAGCTGCACAGGAGAGGGGCTGGGAGATGAGTATTTGGGCTAACGGTCTGGGAATCTGCTCCCGTTGCTGTGCCATTGCAGAGTCACTTGGTGAAGCAGCTGAAGCACAGAGCTGGAAGGGTTTCAGTCGGGGTCTCCAGCTCTGTGCAGGGTGGCTTTGCTGGGGGGAGGGATGGTCAGAGTGGTTGGTAGTGCTGCTCCCAGGAGGGTCCCCAGCAGCCCCTTGGCAGCTGTGCTGGTGGCAGGAGCCCCACTGAGCTGCTGGCAGGGGCTGCCTTCCCAGCCCACCTGGAAGCCATCTGGAGCTGGGCACAGGCCGGGGCTGGGCCTTGGCTTAATGGGATTGAGGTGGAAGGATGCCAGTGAAGAACAGCTCTGCTTGGGAGCAGGAGAGATTCTGGTCCCTCTGAAGCTGCCCTGGTCACTACCTGACCCCCAGGGCTAAATTTGGCAGCTGTGGGTGAATCACCTGGTGGCCATGGTGTGTCCTAGCTGCCAGGGATGGTGGGTGTGGTAAAAGAGCAGTAGGGCAGGTGGGCATCACTTGGACATCACTTCCAGAGCATGAGGACAGAGGGAACCTGCAGAAATGCCTGGGGGAATTATTATGGCGCCCTTTGATCTGGAGTTAGCTAGGGAGAGGGGCCAGGGTGTTTTTGGAGCCCTGAAGACAGGTCTGACACAGGCTGAGCCATGGTTTGGCTCCAAGCAGGGACAGGTCTGCCCCAAGGAGGAGAGAGGAATGGATCTGAATGACCAGCTTCCTTTACCTGATGGAGATGGGGTGGCTGTAATGCTGCCTGGAGCTGGGACGGGGCTCTGCACCCTCCCACCATGGTTCTGTACTATGGATTAATCATTTGATGCTCATATTTCATACTTGCATTTCTCTGCTGTGCTTGAACCTTCATATATCACCCATGGCTGCTCCCACCTGAGCAAAACCAGCGAGCTGAGTCGAAGGCAAATCCTTTTCAGTCCCCTGCATCCTCCTCCTTGTGTTTTCCTGGTTTGACACTCCTTTATTATCGGGGATCACACTTCTCAGCCTGTGTGATGTCTCTCTTAATGTATCTATTCATTAGCACTAAACACTAACTGTCTGCTTGCTAATTCCTCTGTAATTAGAGGCTCTGGATTCTTCTGCTTGCACTCGCACCAGCACCGCCTGGCAGCCTTGATGTAGATCATTAGCAGTTGGTAACAGAAGCTGCAGACACAAAGGCAGAGCTGGGACAGGAGAATGGGGGGTGTTGGGGGAGAGGAGAGGGAGCAGAGGGAGGAAGAGCCTTCCTCTGCCTTGGCTCTGGATGGAGGAGCCAGCTGGGGCTCCACTGTTGAATGTGTGAAGGGGTTGTGCTCCTGCCACAGCTGGACAAAGCAAAGTGCCCACCACCCTTCGGGGTCCTGCAGCCCTGCAGGAAGCAGGGAAAATCCTCCTGGTTCCCCAAGGAGCACAGGGTGAGTGCTGTGGACCCTCTGTGCTGCAGGACTGAGAGATGAGCCATCACCAGCAGCATCCAAAACCTTCAGGTGTCACCAGTTCTTCAGCACCCACATTTTATAAGGGCGTGGAGTGCCAGGACAAGGGGGGATGGCTCTCCATTGCCAGAGGGCAGGGTTAGATGGAATACTGGGTGGGAATTCTTCCCTGGGAGGATGAGGAGGCCCTGGCACAGGTTACCCAGAGAAGCTGTGGCTACCCCATCCCTGGAAGTGCCCAAAACCAGGTTGGATGTGGCTTGGAGCACCCTGGGATAGTAGAAGCTTTCCCAGTCCATGGCAAGGCATGATGAGGTTTTATATCCCTTGCAATCCAAACCGTTCTGGGATCCCAGGAAAAATCTCCTATGAGAGTAAGAGAACAACCCCTCTAGAGCAGCCAGAGGGAAAGAAGGTCCTGAGTGTGGCCAGGTGAGTGGCACATGGTTTGGTGACCATCATCCCATTGATGGTCACCAAAGGCCTTGACCCCTTCTGTCTCCTATGAGAGTAAGAGAACAACCCCTCTAGAGCAGCCAGAGGGAAGGAAGGTCCTGAGTGTGGCCAGGTGAGTGGCACATGGTTTGGTGACCATCATCCCATGGCCTTGACCCCTCCCAGCAAACTGAGTCCCCATAAACATGACCCACCTGCCTTCCTGGGCAATACCTTCTGTCACCTCTGAGCCCAGGCTGAGTTTTCTCTCTGCTCTTCTCAGCAGGCTCTCCTTGACCTCCAGCTCCACACTGTGCATCTCCAGCTCACCTGCACTGCTGCTTCTCACACCCTGCAGCTGAGCAGTACCTCATCCCCCAAAGCTCAGCATCCCTTCAGGGGTAAAATTCAGCACTCTACATGTGCCACAGTCTTGTCTGCAGGGACTGTAACAGAGTCTGGGTGCCACCAAAAGTCTTTTCCCAGCCATTCCTCAACAAATGATCTGTGCCAAGAGGGTGGCTGAGAGCTGTGCCAGCATCCCAAGGGGTCAAGGAGCTGAGCCTGGCCCAGGGCTCTGGATAACAACACTTGACTAATTGAGAGCCTTGCCAGGCACCAGCGCTTGCTGGCAGCCCCTGACTACTAATTTGTGGCCTTTCTTTGGGGAGGGGTGGGGAGTGGGGAGAGTCTTGGTGCTGTGAGGATTTGCAGCCTCCGTCCACCGTGGGCAGGCTAAGTGCCCTGGAAAGCTGAAGGAAAGGGCTCCATGGTCAGGGATGAGTTAATAGCAGTGGGAAGGGCACTTCTTGCTAACTGTCTTCTGTGACCTGAGGAAGGAGGAAGAATCCTTGGGCTCTGGAGTATCCAGAGACAAATTCAGGACCTCCCAGTGGTGGGGGTAAGAAAGCATCCAGGCTCTTGGGAATGTGTCCCTTTTGTGAGCAACTCTTGTCACAGGGGATAAGGAGGGAGGATTAGTGCTGATGTCAGAGGCTCTTGGCTGCAAACAGAGCCACACAGAGACATGAAGGGCCCTTACAGAGGGAATGCCAGGAGTGTGTGGTGAAGGAAACTGATCCACTGTCCCAATAAACCAGGATGATTTCTCCCCCTCTATAGATCCAGAAAAGTTGTTATATTATTTGCATCATTATTCTGAGTGGTGTTTTACAGCAGTATGTCACAGCATGGTGATACGGGTTAGTGGACAAAGTGGCATTCAGTCAAAGGCTGGATTTGATGATCTTGGAGGTCTTTTCCAACCTTCCATGATTCTCTAGGTCTCTTGGCCAGGAAAATGTGTAGCTCCTAGCTCTGTCCCAGGTGCATGCCAGGCATCAGTAGGGTTTGAATTTCAGTGGCTGGCACAGCCCAGGTTGTGACCCAGCCATGAAGGGTCTTTTGGGGAGGGCTGTCCTGACAGGACTTGGGGGAGCCCATGAGCTCAAGGACAGGTGACCACGGTCCAAAGCGAGGACATGGGCCATGGCCCTGCTCTGCTGGGGATCTCCTAGCACTGGACTGAGCCCAGCCTGATCCTGTTACAGACCTTGAGGAATTCATCCATGAGCACAGATGAGACAGATCCCAGGTTGTGCAGAGCACCAGAAAGGAGCATTTTATCCCCTCACCTTCAATCAAAACAATCCCTTGCAGCCACGGTCCCGGAGCTCTGCTGGCAAGGGCAGCAGGGGGCACGGAGAGGTCGGGGAGCAGGCGAGGTGAAGGGATGAGGTGGGTAGGACCAGACCTTTCACCAGCCATCCCAGCCTGCTGTTTGCTTGTCACATTAGTGATGCTGCTGGCTAGACAGGGACAGGAGAGTTGTACTGCCTGGGGCACAGGGAGTCTTGCTTTTATCTTCTCACTTTCACTGTGCGTCAGAGGAAGTGTCTGGCTCCCTTCTTGTGAGGGAGGCACAGGAGAGCCCGTGCTGCTCTGGACACGAGCAGGAGTGGTGGCTCCTCCTGTTCTCTTTCATGCTGCTCAGCTGGGCCCTGCTGCAGCCGAGAGTTATTGAGTGAAACCAGAACCTAGGAAAGTGCAGAAATTACCTCAAAGGGCTGGAATGAGCTTTCCAGAGCTTCAAAGCTCTGAGTATTTGTTTATAATAGAATCCCAGAATGGTTTGTGTTGGAAGGGACTTTAAAGATTACCCAGTTC